GATAGATATATAAGATAAGAAATATTATATAAAATACGAAAGAAATATTTGAAAAGTACAATAGAAAAATTTTTATGATTTTTGTCAAAGAAATAAAAAATCGCGTGTGTATATATACACAGTTAAAAATCAACTAATGATTGTTTCTATATTTTGTACCGATAAAATGCAAGTATACTATAATATTCGTTTTAAAATCCTTCACAATAGAAAAAAGCAAATAATATTCCAATGGTCAAGGTAAAGCATTTATCAAAAAAGCGCTCACGAGAATTTATTATACTTCATTGAATAGATATATATAATAAGAAATCTTAAAGAGTGCCATTTCATAGACTTGCTTAGTATGAGCATAAACTTTTGCCCGTAAAATACCATAAATTTCAGCGAGATAATAAATAGCACATTTAATAATTATTAATTAATATTTAATATTTATTCCTCAAATGTGTTTTTCTCCAGTACTAATCGAATAATTTAGCAACAGTTTAAATTACAAAATATATTACTCGATTTACACGTACATCGCACGTATTGTTTTATAGGCTACGCAAATATCCGCAGGAACTTGTCAACTAACGACTAACACGCGAATCTCTTTAAACATCTAGAAGACGCCGCGTTCTTGTACATCAACAACTAATCTACAAGTAAAAACATGGTATAGCATACCGCAATGACAAAATAGTCTGCGGTTTCATAAAGCCACCTCGCGAATTTCTTCGCGAAATCTCGCAGCTTTTCCACAAAAACACTTTCTCTGCGCGCTAAAGAAAGTTAAGGAGACTTTTGTAACGAAAGTCGCATCGACTACGAGTTTATTGCCTCTTAAACGTTGAACGAGGATATATTTCTCGTGTAAACTGAAAACTGTTTACCGCGCCGATATAATAAATGGCCCGCCGGAAATTCCCACGTTGCCAGAAATTAGAAAACTTTAATTACGAGTAGCCTGACGCGAATCCGTCCCTCGGCATCAACATCCCGTATTAAGTAGCTATTACGATGATATTCTACTGGATTTTATTTAGTCACGAGTAATTAATTTTCATGGTAAACACGGGTGTTCAATTACACAAGTATTTATCCGCTAATTTGTGCAAAATAAGTTATATTCTGTGTTTGATATAACATATATACAAAATATTCATATTTTATAATATCTTTACTATATAAATCTTTATACAAAATAATATGTTAAATAATATTATAATTTTCATAGATTAAATATATTGTAGAAAAAATCTTTTTTGTCACTGAATAATAACAAATGAATTGTTACGAGATCAGCAATAAATCAAATATACGAGTATATTACATAGCCTGCCAAAATACGTTACATGATACATTAAAACGATACATGGAAACTATGGATTCAGATTATTCTAACGCGTGAATTAATTGTAGATTATCATCCACACAAAATTATATTTTATATAACGATTACGAATAATCTCTCTCTGATCCGCCGGAACAAATAAAATTTTTATTATTACAAAAGTAAATAGTCGCAAATACTCTCTTTCTCTAAATTTTGGCAAACGGCAAACGGCAAATCTATTCATGCTTCACGGAACACGATGATGAGAGGCACCAATTACGAAGCGGCGCAATATATGACGGAATGGTAAATCGTCAGTTTCGTAGCCAAAAGGAGTAACGTTAATTCAAGTAAATATTCGTTGAATTTAAGTGCCCCGTTCTCGTACAATGCATAAGCGCTTCTGATTTTATTAGCGAGCAAATATATAACGCATAATGAGTACACACATGAGATGGGATGTGATAAAAGGCTTGCCATCATTTCCCAGATAATAGTAATAGATAAACAATTTATTATATTATATGTAAATAACAAACCATAAATTTGCATACATCTATATATAACTAAAAGAGCAATAATATATGTCTATATCAATAAATTAAATATAATTACATAATTTCTAACAGTTATTAACCTCTTTCATTATACCTTTATCACGTACTTTGTTTCTTTTGATCTTATCCGTACTTTGCTACATAGTCTATGGTTCCAAAGTTTAAATTAATCAATAACGCTAATCTGAAGATTGTAGCGTAACGCACAAGCTTAATTATCGGCGATCAGAGAGCCACGACTTAAGTCGCTTGCCAGCCATTCTCGAAGCTTCTTTGTAAGTTAATCAGTTTCAGCTATGGAGAACAAGTTAAACTTTTCTAATTAGGCATTTAGATGTGCCGTCTCGGTGCTTTTGTATCATATTAGTTTCGTAATTAGTTACATCGCGGCGAAAGAATTAACGAGCTCACAAAGTTTCATTACGAAAGAGCACGAAATGATATCGCGTCCCATAGCGTCGCGGTGCATTATGTGCACACATAGCGACATGTTCACAGGTAGAACTTTAGAAAACACGTAAGCTCTCAGTGGCATGTCTGCCAGATGATGTATCACTCGGAATTTAATTCGGGAAAACCCGAAACGATGATTCGAGTAATCTTATAAATAAGATATTATTTATTTTGAGACACTAAAACCACATTCCTTGTGTTCCTTAATTTGGAATTACTACAGTCAACTCGCTGCGTGAAAGATAATTTTTAAATCAATGTTTTGCCACACATATATTCGCGCGAGCAAACATCTTGATGAATTGACTTTGTTTAATCGTATAACGCTTGTCTTCCTCGAATCAAAAGAATTATCCTTCTTACTATAATCAACTTGTTGCGCGAAAAATGATTTTTAGATTAATGTTTTGCCACATATATTCGCGTGAGCAAATATCTTAACGAATTGACTTCGTTTGATCGCATAACGCTTGCATTTCTCGAATCAAAAAAATTTTAACAAAAATGTAATAAATTTTTTCTTGCATATATTTAATAAATTGTTTTGTTACGTGGATACAGTTAAAAAAAATTCGTATACGACTTTTATTTTTAAACTAATAATGAGTTAATAAAGTTATGACTAATAAAGTTTTTATTTCTAAAATTTAATTTTTGAATTATTTTTTATTGTTACAAAAAAGAAAAATTTTAAACCAATATTATTCATTATTACACATATTCTATTTAAAAAATGATATAGTTTATTTCTCTGGCTGAGAATTTCAAACATATTAGGATATTTAAAAATTTTTCTTTACCTTAAAATTTTTCCCTAAAATGTTCTGCAAAAAAGAGAGAAAGACTAGAAAATTTATTATATTTAATTTTATTGATTTGTTTTTCTGTCTATTGTGACATACTCTCTTGCTCTGTTATAATAATAACAGCAACAGCTGCACACGATAAACTCCTACAATAAATGTGGTTCACCTTATAACCTCAAGATTACGTTATCTAGACAGTAAGAAGCTTATTATAGCACCAACCGTGCTGACCGACTTCTCTGGAAAGATGAAGGGCTGAACGGAATGATCCTTTAGAGAGGTTGGAGTTGAGTTTAGGGGGAGTCTCCCTTTTTGTGCCACCTTGCAGTGCTACACTTAAAATATCACAAATTTAGAAAGTTTACTTAACTATGTAGAATTATTAGAAATCTGTATATCAAGCCATATTTAAAGTAAAATTGATAGTTTAAATGACTTATAAGATAAAGAAAAATTAATAAATTTTAGAGAGAGAATTCTAATAAAACGGAATATTTCTAAATTGATATCAAAATAAGATGACAATATTATCTTTATGAAACAATTAAAAATTTTTCCAAAGTTTAAATTAATCAATAACGCTAATCTGAAGATTGTAGCGTAACGCACAAGCTTAATTATCGGCGATCAGAGAGCAACGACTTAAGTCGCTTGCCAGCCATTCTCGAAGCTTCTTTGTAAGTTAATCAGTTTCAGCTATGGAGAACAAGTTAAACTTTTCTAATTAGGCATTTAGATGTGCCGTCTCGGTGCTTTTGTATCATATTAGTTTCGTAATTAGTTACATCGCGGCGAAAGAATTAACGAGCTCACAAAGTTTCATTACGAAAGAGCACGAAATGATATCGCGTCCCATAGCGTCGCGGTGCATTATGTGCACACATAGCGACATGTTCACAGGTAGAACTTTAGAAAACACGTAAGCTCTCAGTGGCATGTCTGCCAGATGATGTATCACTCGGAATTTAATTCGGGAAAACCCGAAACGATGATTCGAGTAATCTTATAAATAAGATATTATTTATTTTGAGACACTAAAACCACATTCCTTGTGTTCCTTAATTTGGAATTACTACAGTCAACTCGCTGCGTGAAAGATAATTTTTAAATCAATGTTTTGCCACACATATATTCGCGCGAGCAAACATCTTGATGAATTGACTTTGTTTAATCGTATAACGCTTGTCTTCCTCGAATCAAAAAAATTATCCTTCTTACTATAATCAACTTGTTGCGCGAAAAATGATTTTTAGATTAATGTTTTGCCACATATATTCGCGTGAGCAAATATCTTAACGAATTGACTTCGTTTGATCGCATAACGCTTGCATTTCTCGAATCAAAAAAATTTTAACAAAAATGTAATAAATTTTTTCTTGCATATATTTAATAAATTGTTTTGTTACGTGGATACAGTTAAAAAAAAATTCGTATACGACTTTTATTTTTAAACTAATAATGAGTTAATAAAGTTATGATTAATAAAGTTTTTATTTCTAAAATTTAATTTTTGAATTATTTTTTATTGTTACAAAAAAGAAAAATTTTAAACCAATATTATTCATTATTACAC